TTTAGAGAGAGGCTAGGGGCGATTTACATATGTTTTGATTTTATTCTATAAACTTGAATAAAATTAAAATAGAGTATTTGGAAGCAATGGGAATAATATACAGTTCAATTGAACCTGATAGAAGAAAGCTGGATGAGTTATTAGGGGAAAATTTTTGCATTTAAATTTTACCAAATTTTAAAGCTGCTTTTATTAAATTTAAGTATAGTTGGTATACAATATTATATAGTTATATTAGTTTCAGGTGTACAATATAGTGATTTGACATTTTTATACCTTACAATGTAACCACCCCACTAATTCTATTAAATCTGTGGTCATGACTTAATATATTTACTTCCCCCTTTTCCTCTCCCCCCAAAATGTATCCAGAGGTAGGTGAATAATAGATGATACATAGAGATAGGTAGATAGATAGATAGATACATACATACATATATCATACGTATATGGATGGATGAATGAATGGATGGATGGATAGACATATACATGTATACATACATACACACATACATACATACATGGATGGATAGGTAAAGATAGATAAATGGAGGTGGGGGCCACATAGGCCTAAACTAGGCCAAGGAGTGTCACAGACGAGGAAGGCACAGTCCCTGACCCCAGACACTCATTACCTCACACAGCGGTGCAGGGAGGAGTGTCCAGCGGACGCCCCATCCCCTCTGCTCTGGTTATGAGTCCATCATGTCGTATTCTGCTCAGGCTCAGAGCGCGTGTCCTTGGCACGTAGGTCTAGGAGTCCAGTTGGAGTCCATCCAGAGTGACCTGAACCTCTCTGTCCAAAGACATGATTAAACACTCTGAGAGACTGATCTGAGCCTGGGTACGTGGACGGAAATGCGAATTCAGATAACCCAGGACATGTGGTGTGAACAGGAGCAGACTGGGGTGGGACCTGGAGAGCAGGGTGCTGGGAGACTTCAGGGTGCAGCGTGCTCTGGCCGTGCCTCGTTGGCCCCATGTCAGGCTTTCTTTCCCGTGGCTCCAAAGCGGTCTCCAAAAGCTGGGATCTGATTAGCTTGCGTTTGGTTTCTTTGCTGCCTAATGAACTACCTCCTACCTCCGAGCTGTGATGTCATTAGCATCGCATTGCCTTGGGCACCAACTCAGGAGAGAGATTCTTGCAGCAGTCCCAGAATCCTACAGGAATCGGACCAATTTACTTCATAACAACGAATTCACCTTCACGACCTGTCAGCTCCCACCAGCACAGCAGGCCCTGCATGAGGACGGCTCAGTCGCTTTCACCATCCTCGTTCGCTCCTGAGTCTAGGTGGGTCAATATGTACCTGCCTGAGGCCACGGGCACATCCACAGTGAGACTTGGAGCATCGAGAAGGCCGATATTCTCATACCGCGATCTTCTGTTGGGGAAATCCATCCACCGTGTGCTGCAGGATACAGATTTAGCCTCAAGCAAATGGCATTTATTTATAGCAAACTGTATCTGTAAAGCACTTTGCAGTTTTAGGGCTGTTAACTACATTCCAGGTTGGCTGTTCGACTTGTAAGAAAGCCGAGTGTCATGGCTGGACTCGACCACCCCGGTGAGCGATGGGATGAATTCTGCAAACAGGTGAGAGGAGGCCACGCCGGGTTTCTTGACCAGATGACACCTGTGTCGATTGCAATTTTTAAGACCTTAATCGCAGCTTATTTCCTATGTGCAGAGATCGTGCACTTGTTGAAACGGAATGTTTATCTTATTAAGAGACAATATAGTGTCTCAAGTTATCAGAGTATTTCTACCCAGGATTTAGAGGGCAGAAGCACCATCCACTCACAGACCCCTCTGAGGGAGAGCCGAAAGCAGGTGTCAGAGATCAGACTCTCCTGAAGCTTTTAGGGTTTGAACTACTCTTTCGCTCGCCATGGACGCGGTGGTTATAGGCAATCTCTTCGGGCAAAGGGAGATTTACCTGGGCTTTCATTCCATCTTTTTAAGGAGTTTTTCTCGATTGTCTCTTTAACTGCACGAGGAAAATGCATTTCCTCCTTGAAAAATGTCTCTCTCACTCACCTCTCTTTTTTGCAGGAGCCTTTTGGGAGTCCCCTGCTCATTACTTCTGAGTAAATTCAGCCCCTCCCTAGACAGCCCCGCCCTGTGTGACGAGGGGACGGGAGAAGTGGTTAGGCTTGGTCTCAGCAGGGCCCGCTTTATCTGGACCGGAACGTGTTCGGGAGAAGGCAAATAAGATTCTGAAGTCAAACAAGAATTTGGTGGCCTCCCACCATCTTCTTTTGTATCTTCCCTGGCCTCTCTTCGCCCTAACCTTGCACCTGTGCAAGGCTGGAGGGTATTGGCGTGGAGGGAGTTGCCACATCTCGGTTTTAATTGGGGTAGCCAGAAGCAGCCGCAAGGGGAGCAGCCCCTCCAATGTTTTTAGCAATTGTGAGCCTTAATGATGGAGCCCTGGAAGGCGGGAGGCTGTGGCTCCTGACTGTGTTTGGGGTTGCAGTGCCCCCTAGTGGCCTCGTTTGTCCGTTAGACCCCTACACCCTGAGCAGGGACCGAGAAGGGGTTTTATATCTGTATATGGATGCGTATGTAGCCGGTGCGGGGGATTCTGGGGATTTGGGGGATTTGGTGGCATATTATTTCCCCCTTGAAGTAAATTTTACTTTATATGAAGGATATTGAGGATTTTTATTTTCCCTTGTGAGTTTTATTTTCCCTTTATGATCATCTTGTGTCTCTTTGTATTGTATTTTGCTCTGTAAGTTTTGTGGAATTGTTTTTACTCATTAATTTTTTATTAATTGATTGAGAAAAATTGTGCCACCACAGTTTTTCTTTTAAAGTAGCTATGCGTTACTTTTCCGGAAGTTTATTTTCTGTGTCGCCGAAGTGGTCACAGAATTTATCACACCGTTTTTCTCTCGCAGACGTCATTTTAGGCTTGATAGCACCATCTAGTGGTTGTTTTGTGGAAACCCTTTTCCCAGCCTTTTCGTTGAATGACTTCTCAGGGACGATGGCTGTGGGTCGGTAATGAAATGCATCTGATTGTAAGGGCATGAGGGCCAGCCAAGAGAGCCTCCAGCTCGCTGCTAAGGCCTGCAAGCACAGTTTTAAAACTCTAATCTTGAAAAGAAGCACTGTATCTTTACCAAATTTTTTTTAAATGTCATTTACCGTCCCAGTGAATGAAGGCCTGTTTTTTTCTAGAAATAACATCAAGAATCCAAAAACCTCATCCCACCCCCACTTCTCCCTGCCCAGTCCATGTAGCCTGTCAAAGAAGACTGGAGGCCTGGCCAGGGGCTGGGTGAGCAGAGTTCTGCCAGGTCGTGGCCACTTTACAAATACTCCCAGCCGTGAGCTGCATAAGCCTGAATGTCAGTCAGGATTTACATGCAGCTCAGAGTGACTTTGGGGCCAGCTGGTCCATGGGCTCCTGCGTCCCCTGTTCGGTGACATCGTTCTCGGATTCGGTACGCTCAGGTACGTAGTTCTCTGATAACCTCAAAAGGGCTCGAGCTTGGCTCCGGATCCATTATTGCACAAAATGCAAATGTGAACTAAATTATCCCATACTGATAGCCGCCGAGTGCGTCCTTCGCCTTGGCTCACGGGAGGCGTCCTACGTCCATGGGCCTGCGGGGTGAAAATGCCTCCCCCGCATGACGACGATGCTCGTCAGAGGAACAGCAGTGCAGAAACGCCTCGGATCACACCGCAGACAGGGAGGAGAGCCACAGAGCGCTCCCCGGACTCCATAGGAGAGACCTCTGCCACGGAGCCAATGAGTCAGTCTCCCAACCACCTTCTGAAACCACTTTGCAAGTCCTTCCGGCCAGTTCCCCAAAGATCCAGCCCATCGAGCATCGCGTTCTTGATGCATCCAAGACCAGAATGGGTGTTCCGCGTCTGCCCATCGCTTCCAGAAGCCCACCGGCCTCGCAGAAATGGCTTCATGTCTGGGACGACAAAGGGTCAGGGAGCTCGTGGGGCAGCCAGGGCCTTTAGTCAGCAGACTCTGCTTCCATCTCCCTTTAGAAGGAGTGAGTTAAATGCAAAGTCATGACGACTTGGAAGAGAAACACCCAGCAGTGCTTTCTTCCATAGCGCACAAACCATTATTTTCTAGTAGGCGTCACCAATGTTTGTCACCAAAAAGAAACTAAGAGCCCCCCCCCACCCCCAACTCCCTTTTACTCATCAATCAAGGGTGATATGGACCCATCTCTCAGGCTTTGCAGTACACATCTTTTTGAGAAAGTAAAAATTTCTTCCCCGTTTTCAATATGTTGATTAATAGTGAAGCAGAGACATCCTGTTCTTCCCCCTGTGATGTGAGTGCTTCGGAATCAGACAGAACCGGATTGAAACCTCAGATCTCACAATGCACTAGCTGTGTCATCTTGAGGCTCTTGGCCTCACTTTTCTTATCTATAAAATGGGCGTAATGATGGAACTTCGTGCAGAGGGCTGGGGCGAGGGCTAAGGGAGGGCTTGAACAGGTACCACTCTCCCAGTACCTACAGGCTTGATGCATCTTACGGTAGTTACGATTAAAGCTACTATGATGGTGACTCGACTCATGCTGTTCAGTGCGTCGTGCGCTTTAAAATCATTTTGCCATTTAATCCTCACGCAGTGCTAGAGGCAGGTACTGCTAACACCACCGTCGTGTGGATGCGGGAACTGAGTCAGGGAACACCGGCTGCTGTTGTCCATAGTTGATGACGGTCAGAGACCTGCACACATCCCGCAGAAGGGTCCTGAGAGGGGTAGTGGATCCGAGGATTCTCAGCAAGGACACCTCCTGCTCTCACGTTTGGAAGGGCCATTTCCGACTCTGGTTTACGGGAGGCAGCGTCCCCCAAATTGAATGGGCTGACGGAATCTCATCTTACCCCCTCAGTGACACCTTCTGACCTCTCAAGGATTTGACTCCGGCACTCACTGACCACGAGGCCATGCAGGTCCTCGTCTCTGGCCCCCCTCACTGTTCCTTTCCGTTTGTGTCTGGCAGGAAACTCCCCTTCCGACGAGTCAGAGGAGCGGGAGAGAGACCCCAAGGTGCTGACGTTCCCAGAATACATCGCCAGCCTGTCCGAGTCCGGCACCAAGCGCATGGCAGCCGGAGTCCGCATGGAGTGCCAGAGCAAGGGACGATGCCCCTCGTCCTGCCCCTTGTGTCATGTGACATCCAGCCCTGACACCCCCGCCGAGCCGGTCCTGTTGGAGGTGACCCGAGCAGCCCCCATCTATGAACTGGTGACCAACAACCAGACCCAGAGGGTAAGAGGCCTGTCGTCGACAACGGTGGGCCTCGCAGGTGGCCCGGGGAGGTGACCGGGTGCAGTGGAACTCCATGCTAGACCACGGGTGGTGAGACTTTTTGTTTAGCTAATCCAGGTACCTAATTTGCTTAGATTTGCATGTTTGCATATTAAATCAAATCACTGCATCCACAGCTCCCATGGTAATGACGCAGGAGTCACAGCTCAGCATTTGTGTAGGTCTTTGGGCGACAAGGGCTGGAGGAAGAAGGTAGATAGGGACACATAGCATTTGCAGGCACCAAAGTCATTGTTCAGAAAGCCTCGGGGGACCTTCGTGGGAGGAGGCTCAGCTCTGCCTCCTCTGTTGGTATGAGAGGTAGACCAGCCGCCCTAACTGAACCCAAGCCTGGGACCAGCTGCAGCTAGACTAGAAGGAGCCTGTCAGGCACAGGTCCCAAACTAGGGGTCTGCCCGCCTTAGCCTGAGGGGGTGGGGTCACTTCCCCCCCCACCCCCGTCTGACTCTAAGAACCAAATACCACATCCCTGCAGACCTTTCTGCCTCATATCATGCTGCTGGTCCCGACGTCTCCGACCACGCCTCTCTCCCTCCGCCGCTCCCCTGCCAGAGGTGCTCGGAGAAAACGAAGGGACCCAAAGGATCAGCTGCAGAAATGTGGCCCAGGCAGTGACTTAGCCCATTTCCTCTCTCCCATCTCCTCAAGGACATAAAGAACACCAACGATGACAAAAATAAAACCTTGAAAGCTCAGGGTGTGGGGCATCTGAGACTCTAGGCAAAGGTGACCTTAGGGACAAGACATGGCAGAGTCACAGCAGGGAGCTGCTTACCTGCCTGAGAGGTGTGCCCATCCAGGTGGGGTGATAATTGCTTTCTCTTTCTTTTATAAGGGACACCGGTGTGTCACAGTTTCCTAGGTGATACCTAAACCAACAAGAGCGATAATTGCTTTCTCTTTCTTTTATAAGGGACACCAGTGTGTCACAGTTTCCTAGGTGGTACCTAAACCAACAAGAGTGTGTGTATGCGTGCCTGTGTGTGTGTGCGTGTGTGTATGTGTGTATGCATGTGTGTATGTGTGTGTATGTGTGTGTGTGCATGTGCATGTGTGTGCGTGCGTGTGCGTGTATGCGTGTGTGTGCGTGTGTATGCGTGTTTTTGTATGCGTGTGCGCGTGTGTGTGTGCGCGTGTGTGAACATGTCTGTGTGTCGTCTGTGTGTGCGTGTGTGTGCATGTGTGTGTGCGTGTGTGCGCACGTGTGTGTGCGTGTGTTTTTGTATGCGTGTGCGCATGTGTGTATGCGCGTGTGAGCGTGTCTGTGTGTCGTCTGTGTGTGCGTGTGTGTGCGTGTGTGTGTGTGTTTTCTCTCGCCTATCCCCCTTTGCCTCAGATATTTCATTGTGTGTTTCAAAATAAGGTTTTTCGTGTATGCGCATGTGTGTGTGCGTGTATGCATGTGTGTGTGCGTGTGTGTGCGTGTGTTTTGTATGCATGTGCGCGTGTGTGTATGCGCGTGTGTGAGCGTGTCTGTGTGTCGTCTGTGTGTGCGTGTGTGTGCATGCATGCACGTGTGTGTGCACGTGTGTGCATGTGTGCGGGTGTGCGCGTGCGTGTGTGTGTGTGTGTGTTTCTCTCGCCTATCCCCCTTTGCCACAGATATTTCATTGTGTGTTTCAAAATAAGGTTTTTCGCAGGAACAGAAAGATAAATTGCTCCGTTAGCCAGCACATTCCTCCTCAATCTGACAGAAGCGGCTATGGGGAGAAAAGTGGGAGAGAAGGCATCACTGCGGGGCGGGGCTTGAAAGGATGGAGAGAAGGAGGGGCTTGGGTCACTATGGCGACCAAAGCTGCAGTGGCTTTAATCCAATGCCCGGGCCTGCCCTCACCTGCCCCACTGCGTCTGCTGTGAGCCCCCGAGACCGCCGCAGCTGGCAACCAAGAGCACATGTGCATTGGCCTGGGACCAGCAGAATCGGGGCTCCCTCGCAGAGCCACCGTGCGGGACGGGATGTGCGGAGCTGCAGAGCAGAGAGGAGCTTGGTGGGAGAGGAGGGTGGAGGCCCTGCTTCCTGCAGGGGCATCGGGGAGCACAGCGAGGAAGCTGAAGGAAGTCTGCATTGGCAGCCCCCTTTCTGGATCCCCGACCTGCCAACCTCAGCCCTTCCCCGTCTCCCCGCACCGGTCTTGAGAGAGGGACTGGGACATCTCGTCCATCTGGCCGTCTTTGGAGCACTTTCATCTCTATACGCAAAGACCGGGCGGCCTGAGCTGGAGTTCAGTTGCCGTCATGTTTCTTCTCTCTCCTTCCTTAGACATGGTCCGTCTTCACTATTCCCTCCGCTCCTCTGCTTCCCCTCCGATTCTGCCCTTTCTCCCAAGGAGTGGAGATGAGCAGAGAAGCAAAGGAGAAGTGGAGGGCCGCTGCGTCCGCATCCGGAGCTCGGCGTGCGTCCTCCTGTCTACCCCTCTGTGTATCTCTGGGCGGGTTTTCTAACCTCTCTTAGCCTCGTTGTTCTTCTATTGCACTAGACGATCTCTGATGCCACATTTCAGTCTAATCTGTGATTACAGTCTAGAAACGAGTAGGTCAAATGATCTGACCAACCAGGTATCTCAAACCCAACGAGCCTGAATCACTGTCCTCCAACCCAAACCATACCTGTTGTACTTGCATCTCAGCGAGTGGCACTTTCTACCTGGCTGCCCAAACTGAAGACCAGGGATGCATCGTAGCCTTTTTATTTTTATTTATTTATGTTTTTGGTGGGGAAGAGTCATTCTCTGACATCTGTTCCATTGCCGAGGGCCACAGAGATCTAGAATCTATCTTTTTTTCCTAGTTATTTTTTTTTTAATGCACCTTCTGATTTGCATTGCGTGCAGTCAGGCAGATCATACAG